TCTGGTTGGCATCTTTGTGAAATTTTTTATTGTGTCATTAATGGCTTCATATCGCATATCGTCCATAAGTCTACTAATACCATACTGCATCCTATTACTATACATTTTCTTCATCGACCAATGTGCACTTTTCGTTTCGTTTTTTTTAATGATGTGATGAATTACAATGAAAGCAGCTGCTGCTCTTGCACGAATGTCCATGGTAGCAGTTTGCGAACAACTACGCGAAAGGCTGGAGCGGTTGCCTTGCGAGGCCGCCGCGCACTACAAAATGAATGCCAAAAGTTTGGCTCGCGAGGCAGATAATTGGTTTGCCGCGGGCGAACATGGCTTGCGAGGCAGCCGCGGGCAGCCGATACGCACCTTAATATTAAGCCAAAATTTCCAATGACCAGCGGCGCGGCGCTCAACATTGGTGGATAATATATTTTCACCACTGGCGTTCATAGATAAAAGTATTACTTAAATTTTATGCTAATTTGTTAAGTTCTAAAAAATGATTTTATTATTTTTTAAAGTCAGTGACCGCAGGCGCCTTTAGGGCTTTGGCGCCGTCGTGCGCCGCACGACCTTGCCCATATGGACGGCGCGTCCCTGTTTATTTGTTGAAATTAATGGTCAAATTTGACTTATTGTACGCGTTAACCGATATTGTTAAGAGGCCGCCCTGATAATGTGTTTCACTCATTGAGGTTTCACTGCTGCAAAAACTTAGAAAAGGTAAAGAGTTTGAATTGCTACAGGAAAACCATGGCAACGATGTAGTTGAAGATATCATATTTGCGGTTTTAGTTTGGTTCGCTACAGATACATCTACATAACCCTCAGCCACAGCACTGGATTTCCATCCCCCTAGACGCTTCAGCTGTAAAATATCAGCTCCGCTATTTAGCAGCAACGTAGCCGCTGTTGGTCTAAAACATGACCTGTGTAGGTTTTCGCATTGGGAGGTTTCAAAAAGCTAGCAATTTTGTACGGAAATTTAGATATAGTAATTATATCCAAAGGGTTGTTTGTGTTTTTGTTTGTATCTGACAATGGAAGGAGATCCTTCCTAATCGATATTGAACAAAAAATCTCTCATTTTCAATATCTTTTCGTAACTGTATAAATTCTTTCACAATTTTTATCCAACTTGTGTTAGTTATCATAAATGATCTGCTCTTATAAGTTTTTGTATCGGGAATTTCTATGCAAATTTTGTTGTCTAAAATATTAATATGCGTAGTTTTCATCTTCAGTAGCTCATCACTTCCACATGCCCCAGACATACCTACTATAAGCGCAACCTAAAACAATGAAAAGAAATATTTAAAAACAGAAAAGGAAAACATTTAAAAACTTACTTTACCTTACTTTAATTAGGAAGGAATTCTTGAGGTGTTTTCGTGAAAAAATCCTCCAAGTTTTACCTGGTAAAAATGTACTGGTAAGTAAAACCTACATTCGGGCGTTTTAAAAAAGCGACGTGTTTGTGATATTTTGATATGTCAGTCTTTTCCCTTAATTTTAGCATTGTCCGTATCATGCTGTACGTAGCCCAAAGAGTAAACGGCTTTTTCTGCCTTGCCATGTCGCTAAAATATGCCATCAAGACTGTGTCCGAAGCAATATTCTTAGCATTTCTTTCGGCACACCATTTTTCGTATACTTTAAATGCTATTTCATATCGCCCCCTACTTTTGTCTGGAAGTAAACTGGCTTCTGCTCTTTGTGCAGCTTCTTTAAGTTCTGGTGGAGTACCAATATTAAAGTAGTCTTCATTATCAGAACTTTCCGACAACATTCTGGCTTTCTATGTTATATAAACTCGAAAAAGTGAACGAGAAATTCAAAACTGTCACTTAGTTGATTGTTTTGCTGTTGACCTTTTGCGCCATAGCAACCACTAGTACCGGTAACTATAGATATGGAAATGCCAAAATAGAAAACGACAAATTTTCGCATATTTGTTTTCTTTTCAAAATAAAATACTGTCCGTATTTTTTAATTAATGATGTGGTTGTACATAAAATAGTATACAAACCTCGGAGGAAAGTTTTCATTATTGTCTTGATTATTGATTTAGTTTATTCTCGACAGTAATGAAACACTTCCCTCCTCGGTATGTAATATACTTTTAATAGCCGGTGTCTAGTAAAGTAAATATTTCAGTTAACGTCTCCTTTTTGCTGCCGGGGCTAATCTGGACGGGGCCTATTTTGTTTACGCGGAATCCGAACCACGGTCCTCGGCCATATCATGGTCACGAGATATCCGATCTTATCCGGCCTCGAACCGGCGTGAGTCAGCAGTGTGTATCAATAGATTTTACACTTTTCCCTCGGACAACAGCACGATACAGAGTTTCGAACCGGTCACCCGTCCATCCACCAGTATCGCCTTACGTCGCTTAACTTCGGTGTTCTAATGGGAACCGATGTTTCAACGTAGCTAGGCCGTTGCCGACAGGTGTCTAGTGTTGCGGCACACCCTAGTGTATTATAAATTTTTGGGAACCTTCTAAAAAGTAAAATTAATTACTTGGTAAAGAAATTAAGATTTCAGACTACTTCAGATTATTTTTTTTGAAACTCCGCCTGTGTGGTCGATAGGTAAACTGAGTAACTCAAGCAGTCATCATGGCAGCCCGGTCAAACAATAGGTTCACCTCAAGAGTTTTTATTTTATATCTTCTTCTTACAGTGCCATACTCAATATAGAGCGTCGGCTACCTTTCGCATGTACTTGTGATGTGTGTCATCAGTATTTCACAAGTACACGGGACCTACAGTTTATCGCCGAATCCGAACGGCACTATTTGAGAGGCAAATATACTCAAGGTGGTTTGCCATTGCCTTCCTTGAGGGGGCGGCTCGTTGGTCACTCTATTTAGATAAATACATATTTTTATTTAAATAAATAAAGCGACCGTACTGGCTGGGGATCGAACCCAGTACCTTTTGCTCCGCAGATCGACACACTAACGCGGGCTACAGCCGGCCACAGACTTTTTTATTTTATATAAATATCGATAACACAACTCAAGTAACACGAGACATACCAACACCAGGAGGCATTAGACATTGAGATAGCCTTAGTCCCTTCTTATTCAATCTTTTAATGGATATTATCATAAAAAAGGTGCCCTCGATGAATGTCGGTTATCGAATGGGACACAACAGAGTTTTCATGGTGCGTTACGCTGATGATAAGCTATTATCGCGGAGTCAGAGGACGATATGCAGAGACAGCTTCATAATAAATTCTATCAAGTAAGCCGAGAATTAAATATGACTATCTCTACTGTAAAATCGCTTATTTCTGGGGCTTACTCAACCGGGTCTCACAATCAAATTCACCTCAAATATCCATTTAGTTGGTCATTGGCAAGCACTCTCTCATTGTACATGAAAATAACAAAACAAACATTTACTGATCTGGATAAAATTGATAGTTAAATAGTAAGACTCACCCCGGGGTACTCCGCCCCCTAGCCTGATATATTCTATTCAATATATCCCATTCCATATTTTCCATCTAATTCAAATATCATTCGGTTATATATTGGTTAATCATCTTCAACAACTAGCTAGTGTCACCTGAAATAGTATAGGGACTTTTCCCGGACGCAAATCTGCCGCTAAACAGATTCGCATCCCAATCGAATAGTTTGGGGTAGCTCACTACCCCAACGCCGCATCGTGTCAATCGAGAAGACAAGGGAAACCTCAAGCTCTCAAGACCAACCTCGAAGGCAACAAAGGTCACACGTCACAAGAGGTTTTCTTCCGGTCAAACGACCCGTTGCCTTACAGTACTTGCAACGTTTATAGTCAAAAGACTCTCAACCCCCAAATATCAGCACTATGACAAAACACAACACAACAGTCGGCCGACCTATCTACTACTGATTCGCCTCAGGCAAGCTAAGCCTCCTCTTACATCACAATTTTACCGGATCGTAAATATTTTGCATTACTTGCTAATGAATCATACTATTTTCTCTAATCGACTTTCAAATAGAGTATTTTAGCATTACTAGATAAATAAATAGAGAGTTTCCGAATTATAAAACCATTATTATAACCAACTTATTTTCCAAGTTTTACACTACAGAAAAAAAAACTAAATGCTTAACTTTTCCGGTAAGTTGCAAACTGGTAGTAGAAAACAAAATTATTGAGCAAGTATTACAGTTTAGATACCTAGGAATAGATATGTCGTGCCACCATGATCCAGAGAAAAATCTGAAAAGCCAAATAAACAGAGCAACTGCCATGTCTGGATGTCTGAGGCAAATAGTGTGGACAAACCCCTTCCCCCCATGTGAACAGACAGCATAATTAAAATTTGAAGACTAATAATTACATATGGCATAGAAATCCGAGAGGAAACAAACAAAACCAAAAGCATGTTAAGAGTCGCTGAAATGAAGAACCTAAGAACGGTAATGGGGAAGACTAGAAGAGACAGAATTAGAAACACAAATATCAGACAACAATTTGGAATACAGGACGTCGTAAGATGGGGTAGGCAAAGAAAAAGAAAATGGTTCGCACATGTAAAACGCATGGAAGTAAACAGGCTACCACGCATAGCTCTTGATGGGAAACCCATGGATAAGAGACAGCCGAGAAGACCTCCAAAAAGGTGGAAAGACAGTTGGCAGTTCATCTCCCATAACTTCTACAGAGACAACCTTTTGAAGAAGAATTTTTTGAACACAAAAAATTATAATCTCGCTTCAAAATCAAAGAGAAATATTAGATCTGATGGATTATAACGACAAAGCAAAATTTACTGTTTCTTTTAGTTATTAAACTAATGCATTGTTTTTTTCATAATAAAGGAGATTTTTTCATTTACAATTATTTAATTTGATAGTGGGTCAGAGGTAAGTCTCTCTAAGTAAAATCAAGGAAAATCATATGATAACCATACTGTATACACATATCAGACGTACATCCACTTGAATATCAAATTCAAAAAGATTAAATTTATATTTACTGATAATAAATTTCATTGAATCGGGACAATGTGAGATACAAATATTTCTAATTTGATCAAATAAAAAAACAGGAAATATAATGGTCAAAATTATATTAATATGTGGAATAATTTCAATATTTTTAGTGCATTCTGTTAAATCTACTGTTGTCAATACTTGTAAGTACACTTGTCATATTATATTAATACCTTCTTGTACTTTTCTTTGTTTTTGGGTTACGGAACATTGATGTATTTTTTGTAATTATTCTAAAGGTATATATATTATATATAATTATACAATAATTATTATAAACTCACCGGCAAAAAAAAACGGCCACTAAAAATGAGTCCCAATTTCAAAGTTGGATTTCTCGCGAACCACTCATTAGATTTTAATGATTTTTTTTAAATTGTAAATAAATTCCTTCTTAATGGATGCTACGTCAGAAATTTTTATTCCGAATTTATTTTGAGCGTATACAGGGCACAACAATAAGACGAAGTTTTTTGCCTGAACACCCTGTAGGGTGCAGCAGCTGTAGTAGCTATTGCTAAATCAAATTACATTGTAGCCTCATCTTACCCTGGTCAGTCTTAATCTGGGGATCGGTATATGGAAACGGGAAATATCACGAGTAGGTCCCGGAAGAAAACGGAAGACAGATGCAATTGACGACCGCTTTATTGTCCTGAATGAAATTACGAAATCGTAGAATTACAGCGTTTCAGAATCAATATCTGCTACAAGCCGTGCGTAGAACTCAAGTCAGTGAGAGAACAATCCGACGAAGACTAAAAGAAAACAGCTTGTCTGCAAGGAGGCCTGCCACAGGACCCCAGCTACTTCTAAGACATCGTCGAGCACGTCTTCCGTTTGCGCCTTTACATGTGAATTGGGATATTGAGCAATGGAATAAAGTTCTTTTCACGGATGAATCGCGGTTTTGCCTGCGAAGTATTTTTCACACATTTTTCACAACAGAGATAATGTGATAAAAAAAATAAAATGCTCACAAAAGATGAAGCTACAATGTGATTTGATTTAGCAATAGCTACTACAGCTGCTGCACCCTACAGGGTGTTCGGGCAAAAAACTTCGTCTTATTGTTATTTCCTGTATATGCTAAAAATAAATTTGGAATAAAAATTTCTGACGTAGTATCCGTTAAGCAGGAATTAATTTACAATTTAAAAAAAAATCATCAGAATCTAATGAGCGGTTCGCGAGAAATCCAACTTTGAAATTGGGACTAGTTTTTTAGCCACCCTGTATACACTCACCGGCAAAAAAAACCTGCTACTAAATAAATAAATAAATAAATAAATGCCTTTATTGTCAAAAATTTTTTCAATTTGTAGACAAAGGTAAACTAACAAACAAAGTAGAAAAAAAAAACAAGGTACACAAACAAACAAACAAAAGATAATACAAAACATTATATTATTTATATGTATTATTATCTTTTGTTTGTTTGTTTGTGTACCTTGTTTTTTTTTCTACTTTGTTTGTTAGTTTACCTTTGTCTACAAATTGAAAAATTTTTTGACAATAAAGGCATTTATTTATTTATTTAGTAGCCGGTTTTTTTTTGCCGGTGAGTGTATACAGGGTGGCGCACCTCATTCGCCTCGGTTGATTATACGAAGTCGGAAAGATGTAGAAAAAAATATTTTATGGGTATATGTAGGGAGGTAATGTACAGAATTTAAAATTATTTTTAAATGTACAAGGTGTTTCAGAACTAAGATCAATACCAAAGTTATATTTTTTCTAATGGAACACCCGGTATTTTATTTCATTTTTAGATTCTTCGGCCCAAAAAAGATATTTATTATAAAGGTTAAATATGTTTAAAATCTTTGGTTTTTGAGATATTTAAAGATATTTAAATTTGCATGCTACAATAGAATAGATTATTAACACCCTGTACATTACTTTTCAGAATTAGTTCTTGTCCTGAGTTTAAAGGTAGAGAAATAGACTTTACAGAAAAATGTTATTCCTTCCTTAAATGTATACAGGGGTAGGTAGTCATGACAAGTTTATAGTGACTGTTAGTAGCTATTTTCAAAATCGAAATTAGTTTATGGACTTATTTAAATATATACCAGTTTACTTTTATTTAATTTACCTACAATAGTTTAATAAATAGTATTTATTAAATATGTGTATATTATTCTATCAAGAAAAACGAAGAAGTAGTTCCTTCGTAATTCCTATATTCTACATTGCTTTTTATTTTGGCCCCCCCCCCTAAAATAAATTCCTGTATCCGCCCCTGCGCAAATTTATTTTATTCCCTTCCAACGACAGGTTTCTGCCTAAGAGGTTTTTTATAGACCACACTACCAGCTCTGCGAAATAGGACAAGAAGTTTGTCAAAGAAACGCTTATCAGGAAGATTCCTATTTGGATATCTTTGAGCATAAACCCTTGAGCACCCTTGAGGCCAAGAAGCAATAATTTTTCTCAAAAAATAAAATCACTAGTAACATATCTATTCGTTCCTCCAGCAGATACTGCTTTATTTTTCTTGATAAAATAATGAATACTTACTTATTAAACTATTGTAGGTAAATTTAAGTAAACCGTTATAAATTATAAATAATAATCTCCATAAACTAATGTCGACTTTGAAAATAGTTACTAACTGTCTTTAGAAAATTGCCATGGCGACACCAGCCATCTTGATTGCAATTTTATTTAAAAATAGCTTTTTTATTCAAAACCTGAGCTAGATAGGTATAGGAAACCCTAATATAGTTTGAAAGAGCATTTGAATCTGCTTCGATTTATTTAAAAAAATACAGGCTGTTGCATTTGAAATAACGAAGTTTTTATATAAAATCTGATGTGTTATCTGTGATAAAATATATCCTTAAAATAGATCAGCAACTTTTGATAACCCTGTATAAATTTAAATAACTTATACCATTTTTCAGTAAAGTTTATTTCTCTACCTTACTCTAACTCAGCATAAGAATTAATTCTGAGAACAGTAATGTACAGGGTGTTAATAGTCTATTCTATTGTAGCATGCAAATTTAAGGATCTTTAAATATCTCAAAAACTAAAGATTTTAAACATATTTAACCCTTATAATAAATACCTTTTTTTGGGTCCAAGAATCCAGAAAATATGCCAATAAGAAAAATCCAATAAGAAAAAATATAACTTTGGTATGGATCTTAGTTCTGAAACACCCTGTATATTTCAAAATAATTTTAAATTATTCACATTGTCTCTCCACATGTACCCATAAAATATTTTGTTTCTACATCTTTCCGTTTTCGTATAATCAACCGAGGCGAATGAGGTGCGCCACCCTGTATAGTTATTACTTTTTTATCATTTTTAACTACACTTTTTAAACATGTCCTTCAAATTTAAACATATCCTTCAAATCGTTTAATTTAATAGCTTTAGTAAGAAGTTTCAATTTTTCTAGTGCACACAATTTTTTTATCTGTAGAATCACCCGCAGAAGTTCGATACACTATTGTTATGACACCCTGTATAAAAAGATTATATCGACAAAAAGCCGCAACTAAAAATATCAATGGTCGTGTTCCAGCATTGTTCCGAATACGCAAATATTCATTTGTTAAGAGTAATTTTCTGAGCATTTTTTTTAATTGACCTCTTCAAAATTATTGTATAATAGAGGCGATTCTTGCCGCCAAACAGACACTGAATATTATACAGGGTTGTCCGAACTGTATTCCGGAAACTTTGTCAGTCTAATAACTATTTAGTCAACATGTTTAATTTATGTCAATGACGACAGGTATTGATAATATCGATTCCAAATATAGTCCAGTCATCTTAGTCGAAATAGGGTAGGAATCTCGGAATTCAAGATAACCGGCTGTAAACTTGTGTAAGCCTTTATTTTAACATCCTAAAACATGTCTCAAAACCTACATATGATAGCGTGTGCGCGACTTAGTAGATAACTGGTGTCAAATGTCAAAAAATCGATTTTTTGCGCATTTTTTGCAAATATCTCGTTCCCTTTCACATTTACCCTATTTGTATTTATCATAAATATTGTAGAGGATAAAATTCTCTACAACATTTGTTTCAAAAATTTTTTGTACCTCAAACCGTTTAGAGATAGAGGGCGGTGAGCGCGCAGTCTTTCATTATGTACGGTATCATTCAAGTTCAACCTGTAGTCTCGGTCAAAAACACGCCGTATAAAATCCGTTATATTGAAAAATATATAATTATTATAAATACTTTATATTTTTTCATAAAAGATCATATTGAATATAATAATATTTTTCATAAATTAAGTATATCTTCATTTAATAACACTTACCTCTTTGTACAGGGTGGGTCAAATTCGACGCTTTTAAATGAAAACACCCTTTTCTATAGGAAGTAGACGAAAAATAATATCCGTGTCTGGAGCTCAATTTTCATCAAAAACATGATGGTGTAAACCGCACATCAATATCTGTTACCGTTTCGGAGTTACGGGGTGTTTTTCAAAAATGTGCATTTTTAACAAATCGCTGTAACTATTTTACTATGGAAAATTTTGTATTTTTATGAAAACATTTCCAAAGCACCGTTTTACGTAGAATTTAATGGTTTAAGTATAATTTTTTTAAAATTAATAATTTAAGAGTTATCAACAGAAAAATTGATTTTTTATTTGGGACACCCTCTATATTTTTAATTAACTGAAAAGAATTTAAAATTACCTTTCCAAAAATATAGCACACTTGATATTTTGTTATAATCCCCTTCGAAATAGAGAATTTTTAAAAGTTAGCCACTTTTAACTAGTAGGCTTTGGACCCCTTTTTGATGATATGCCCTTAATGGAACTCGAAAACATATTTTTCCAGAAAGACGACGCACCGCCTCTGAACGCTGAAGTTATCAGCAACTTTTTGCAGCCAATTTCAAGAATAATTGAATAGCTAACCAAGATCCCAGTCGTTGGCCATCGAGGCCGCCTGACTTAGTGCCTATGGATCTAATCCTATGGATATATTTGCGGAGGAATAAAGGTTCCTTATTCTTCCGTATAATCTAGACAAGAATTAGAAATACTTAGCAGTTATGAGAGGGTATTTTTCACCCCCACTGAGTTAATGAATTCCGCGAGAAATGTTCAAAAACTGCCCCGTCTGTCCATAACAGAAGACGGTTGATATGTCGAAAACCTGTAGCAAAATCTAACATCTTGGTTTGCTATTTATTTTTATTGTTATTAAATATAGTTTAAATGTGTTGATGTTGGTTAAATATATTTTAAATTGTAATAAAATTCTGCATCTCTCATAGCAAATATTATTTTCGCTTTAATTGATGCTCACAGCTAGAATTTTTTTTGCATTACAGCCGGTGCCGTTCAAAGCCTACTTATTTAAAGCGGGCGAATTTTTATATACTCTATATCTCGAAGAGGAATCGAGCAAAATATCAAGTGTGTCAGATTTTTGGAAAGGTAATTTTAAATTCTTTTCAATAAATTAAAAATATACAGGGTGTCCCATATAAAAAATCAAAATTACTGATGTTGATAATTCTTAAATTATTAATTTTAAAAAAATTATACTTAAACCATTAAATTCTATTTGGAGAACCACAGGATCTTTTCTGGATTTTCTTTCATGTAAATTTAAGCTACTACCTATGTTGCCATATTATCAAGAAATTAAGTTTTTTAAATTAAAATAAAAAAAATCCAAAATTTTTTTCAAAAAATTCCAAATTTTTAATTTTTTGCAAAAAATACCTCATGGGCGTGTTTCTGAGGCCGAAATATATTACCAGTTAAAATATTTGCACTTATTTTTGGGACACCCTGTATAAATAATTAAATAAAAATAAATAATTAATAAAAATTATATAAATAATAAAAATAGAATATTAAATTTAATGTATAAAAATTAATAATAATTAAATAAAAATAAAGACAAAATTAAATAAAAATAAAAAGAACTCCATGTTCTTATTTTTAGTTTTCTCCTTCTTCTTCATCATCGTTGTCTGGTCATTGTGGAATTTCGAATTCTTCTTCATTTTCATCTTCAACGACATTTGTCTCCAAGTCTTCTAGGATTTCGGGGTCAAATGTACCATCTTCATTGACATCACTCTGATAGGGTGAAGCATTGAGACAAGCATGCCCATTACACTGGCCACAACCTAAAGAGCACGGCAACCCTGATTTCCTGCATCCACATCGCGAACCACAACCATTCTTGCAGTTGCAGAATATTGTGTTCAGCAAATTTTCTGGAGCTGGAGGTAATTAGTATAAATCTGACTATAATTAAAATGTAATTAAAGTATTTCTGTTAATCATTTTCTAATTGTACAAAGAGGTAAGTGTTATTAAATGAATATATACATAATTTATGAAAAAAAATATTATATTCAATATGATCTTTTATGAAAAAATGTAAATTATTTATAATTATATATTTTTCAATAATTAACGGACTTTATACGGCGTGTTTTTGACCGAGACTACATGTTGAACTTGAATGATACCGTACATAATGAAAGACTGCGCGCTCACCGCCGTCTATCTGAAAAACGGTTTGAGGTACAAAAAAATTCTGAAACAAAAGTTGTAGAGAATTTTATCCTCTACAATTATAAAAAAATACAAATAGCGTAAATGTGAAAGGGAACGAGATATTTGCAAAAAATGAGCAAAAAATCGATTTTTTTACCTTTGACTTCAGTTATCTACAAGTCGCGCACATGATATCATATGTAGGTTTTGAGACATGTTTTAGGATGTTAAAATAAAGATTTATACGAGTTTATAGCCGGTTATCTCGAATTCCGAGGTGAAACCCCTAAGATGACTGGACTAATATCTCAAGAACCATTACTCGTAGCGATTTTTATCAAGAGATCTTTTTTACGTAAAAAACGTCGTAAATGTATATTTGTTTACTCGGTAGTTTTATACAGGTACGGACGAAAAGTTACTTTTCAAACCAGTTAAAAAATGTGTAGGTGGCGCCCTCTACAAGTAGGAGACATATTGACATCAATCCAAATTTCTCATATCAAAGAACACCCAGACATCATTTTTCATCCAAATATTAACGTTACTTCAGAAATTATTTGGAAAAAATCGAAATAAAAATGGAACTTCTACACCCCGTATCTCTGAAACTAAGCTTTTTAGGACATACAGGGTGGCCCATCGAAAACGTTCCGCAAGGCATAACGGTCAGGGTAATTTTTTTTTCAGAAAATTCAAAAACACCTCAATTTTGTTTGTGAGGGGGACAATTTTTGCCCCAATAATGATTGCAAAATCTTCAACCCTCTAAGCGGGGGTGTCATACCCCAATTTTTTCAAATGGGAAGGGCGGTCAAGTGGTACCGCATTGAAAAGGGCTTTCTATTCTCTATACTTTCCCGCTTCGTTTTTGAAAATCGGCCGAGCCATTGAGAAAATATGAAGGATTGAAATTTGAAAAGTTTATTTAAACATTTATCAGGGTAAATGATAAGGATAAATTCCTTCGATCAATTTGCTGTTTTTTCTTATTATTTCTAGATGTTTACGCATTTTTTCACTTGTCACAAGGATGAACGATTGGGTTAGGTAGAGTGTACTTTCTTTTTGAAATGTGTAGTTAATCGGCACAACTGTCGGTACTGGGCTGAGGACAACCCCAGGGTTTTTCACGAGGTGCACACACAAAACCCTAAGAAATTGAACGTGTGGGCTGGTATTTTTAGAAATTCTATTGTGAGTCCTTTTTTTCTTCCTGGAAATCTAACAGGTGATATGTACTTGGATTTACTGGAAAATACCATCGAGCCAGCCCTAACTGACATCATAGAGAACAATCCTGGATACGTTGAAGCGGAACTAATATTTCAACAAGACGGTGCACCTCCACATTACTCTCAAAATGTGCGTAATTATTTAAACAATAACTTTCCCGTTCGGTGGATAGGACGAAGGGGTGCAATTGAGTGGCTTCCCCGGTTACCCGACTTGACTCCTTTAAACTTTTTTCTATGGGGACACATAAAAAGTAAAGTGTATAGCACTCCACCCGTCTCATTAGAAGACCTGCGAAGACGAATTATTAATGTTTGTTGCGAAGTGACCCCGCAAGTTCTTCAGAATGTTCTAGAACGGGTTGAAAATAATTTGTATTACTGTATGGAGGTTGACGGGCAACATTTTCAGCTTCATTAATAAGATAAGTTTTTTTTAATTAATTCAATTTATGCGTTTTTTGCAAAAAAAGTACTTTTCAAATTTCAGTCTTTCATATTTTCAAAATGACTCGACCGATTTTTAAAAACGAAGTGGGGAAATATAGAGAATAGAAAGCCCTTTTCATTGCGACGCCACTTGACCCCCTTCCCATTTGAAAAAGTTGGGGGATGACACCCCCGCTTAGAGGGTTGAAGATTTTGCAATCATTTTTGGGGCAAAAGGTGTCCCCCTCACAAACAAAATTGACGTGTTTTTGGATTTTTCGAGAAAAAAATACCCTGGCTGTTATGCCTTGCGGAACGTTTTCGATGGGCCACCCTGTACATTTATACGAACTTTCTATTTATTTTTATCTGCAAAATATGCAAAATATACGTCGAAGTTTCCAGAATACAGTTCGAATTACCCTGTATATTGCGCTCACAAATTGACATCGAATGTTATTTATAGAATTATTTTTGTATAGGTGACAATGGAGCACTACTTCCAAACACTACAATGTATGCTGGGACTCTGCTTTGTAATCAAACACCTTGTACATGTATACCCGGGTGTCCGTTTACTATCTACTTAGAATTTTTATCCCGTAATATTTACATATTTTTATCATCAAGCATATTAGTATTAAGCAATTAATATTTTAGCAAAATATTTAGAAAATATGAAGCCTAATATTCTGGCTACTTACGCTGGAGTGACTATACCGTATCCATTGAACCAGGATGATGCTTGTGATGGGATAGAAAACACTCAGTGCCCGATAGTAAAAAATGAACACATTAAATATAAAATATCGATGGATATTTTAAATATTTTTCCTGAGGTAACGTTGTTGTTTAATTATTATCAATTGTACTGAAATACATAACGTTAATTTTCAAAAAGTATATTTAGCGTATATTTTTTGAGATGGCTATTGTCAGGGGCGCAACTAGACATATACTTTTAGGGGGGCTCAAGTCTTTTGGGGGGGCTTAGATCACTGTAAGGTACTATTGATGTGAGGTTAAAACCAATTTTATATGAGACGCACTAGCCATCAGGGGGGGCTAAGCCCCCCTATCCCCCCCCCTAGTTGCGCCTCTAGCTATTGTCCTGTTCCACGGGACCTTTACGCATTTGTTGTGTTGATCCTCTGATTTCTAGTTTTTTTTTAAACAAAACAAACAACGCTTTATTGTGCAAAAAGCCAAAACAGCTTCATCGACAAAGCACTCACAAACAACAAAATCACAAAAAAATACAAACAACAAAAAATACACAATACAAATAATACAATTTAAAAAAATTTAAGTCTTTAAAATTACAAAAAGAATATACATGGACACTTTTAGAACAGTACGCAGTAAATAGATATAATTTTAAAGTTATAAAATATTAAATACTTGACCTTTGACCAGTGTGTGTGAGATGATCAAAATTTTAAAATTCATTACATTTTATTTCATTACATTCTGCAGTCCTATGTACCATTTTCAGTCAGTCTAATAACTTGGAGACTACTACTACAACTACTCAGCAATATATCTACTAATTTCAAAATTTATTAATTACTAATTTTTGTAGGTAACAGTGGCACTAGAATTCACTATTAAAGATCAAGACACTGGCGATGCTGTTATATGTGTACTTTTTGATATTGATGTAAGGAAAATTGATTGTCCCAGCTGAGAAATAATATAAATCTAATAAATACGTTATAATAGACTACATAAATTAAAGATATGAAGTGCCTACATTTCTTTGCCTATGGTAGATAATGATTCAGTATTAAAACAGCCGCTACACTATCCCCGAAATGTTTTAGGAAATATATCTGGAAATAATTTTATAATTCCTGAATAAGTAATTGATAATTTTCGACTTGGCAGCTAATATTATTGTTCAAAACATTGAAAATGCTGAGAAGCGTCTTCAACATTTCCCTCGTATAATAAAAATATTGACAAAGGTATCCATAGAAAAATAGGTTGACATAACTCAACAATTGGTTATGATATTCACGTAACATTGACATTTTTCATCGTTTTATTTACATTTATATGACTGTTAATAAATTATTATACAGGGTGAGTTTTCTACGATGTTCTCTATGGGTATTATGGGTATCTCGAAAACTACTGGAGATAGAGAGTCGGTTAAATGGGGAAAGAATTGCAGTTTTGTGGGGTCATAAATATGCACCTTTCAGATTTTTGAAAAAGTGCATGGCTTACTAGATATTTCGAAAAAAACAAATTTCGGCTATTTTAAAAATTGTCCCTAAATCCATTATAAGCTATTTTAGACAAACAGTTTTCAGATAAAAGTTGTAGATAATCACATCCTTAATGAAATTGTGTCCTCCGCTTTTTTCTAAAGCCTGTCATTTTTGACATATGTTTTTTTTAAATGGAAACCATAGTTGGCCATGACTTCATAAAAAGCGCCATTTTTTAAGCTTTTTATGTTTATAATATATACATATAAGCTATAATATGTTTTCTTCGAAAAATTAGTGAGTTATAGCCAATTCTTATCATTTTTAAACAATTTCACTTAGTTGGCTATGGAAACAAGTTCAATCGCCGTTTCTCTCAGAAATGTGAAGCTTTTACACCCAAACAAAAATTTGAAATATGAATTTTTCAAATGAAGAAAAGCGTGTAGATACTTGCACATTAATAGAATGGTTCCAACATGACTTTCATTAAGACCCCCCCCCCCATAATGAAAGAAATGTTAAAAATTATTTATATCATAATTATGCAAACTCAGAGATAGGAAGGACCAATTGGATTGACCTCCTCAATCACCTGACCTATCCATTTTAGATTTTTTTTATGCGGTATGGTTAACAATAAGGTTTAAAAAAGAACTTATGAATTAAGAGAGGCACTCGAAGTGGCGGTACGAGAGAAGTTTAATTAAGTCGACCGGTCCTTCTGTGAGAATAGGTAGAAAGTTCAGTTTTAAAAAGATGCCACTCAAAACAATGGCGGATTTTTTAAACATTTTCTAAAATAACTTAAAGTGTATGTAGTTATATTATTTTTTTTAGCTTTAGTTTGTGTAATGTAAATTGTAAACTACCGTTTAGTAACTGTAAATGTGTAAATTTTAAAATATTGACTATAAGTTATAAATCATAACAGAATAAGAATGCCATGCAATTTAATTGAAATTAGTCAAGAAAGCTAAGAATTGGCTATAACTAAATTTAACTTTTCTAACATGTCTTGAAAACCGTTCTCTAAAAACACCGGTCCACGTATCCTCCAAAATGTATGTTCAAGAAAACTTGAACCAATAATCCTACACGCTTTTCTTCATTTGAAAAATGCATATTTACAGTTTTTGTTTATTTTAATTTACAAAATTTGGTTTGGTTTGGAGAGCAAAGACGATTAAACTTGTTTCCATGGCCAACTAAGTGAAATTGTTTAAAAATTATAAGAATTGGCTATAACTTAGTAATTTTTCGAAGAAAACATATTATACCTTATATCGCTGAAAAGCTTAAAAAATGGCGCTTTTTATGAAGCTATGGCCAACTATGGTTTCCCTTTAAAAAAAACATATATTTGTGTCATATGTCAAAAATGACAGTCTATAGAAAAAAACGGAGGACAGAATATCATTAAGGATGTGATTATTTACAACTTTTATCTCAAAACTTTTTGTCTAAAAGGGCTTATAATGGGAAAGACAATTTTTAATCACGACAATTTTTAATCATCAAGAGACAATTTTTAAAATAGCCGATATTTGTTTTTTTCGAGATGCCATGAAAGTCATGAACTTTTTCAAAAATCTGAAAGGCGCATATTTATGACCCCATAAAACTGCAATTCTTTCCCCATTTAACCGACTCTCTATCTTTAGTAGTTTCCGAGATACCCATAGAGTACCGTAGGAAACTCACCCTGTATATTATATTATGCCGGGTCCAGACCAAGGCGACAAAAAGTAAACACGATTTTGAGACATAAACAAGACAAACTTGCGACAAAATAATGGAGAATTCTGACAATATGGCGATTCTCCAATAGCAATCGAAACTGCGATTGCGATTTTTAAATCGCTCCGACTGTAACCTGTGATTGCGATTGATTATTATATTAATATTGTACTAGGCATATAATTCTTTGTGTATGCATCTATAGCTTAACAGTTAAAAAAAGTTAATAAAAATCACTTGTTTAGTTTTCAATTTTTTTTAAGGCTCTCCTTCCCACTGGCGCTAGCTTAGCATTTGTAAGGGTTTGGCTATCACAAAATGCTGCAAAAACCATGTGATCTTTCTTCACGAATCTTTTTTTATTTGTTTGTATACATCTTAAGACGTGCTTATAATTATATTTCCTTCCCCAAACTCAACTCAAACTGTTTCAAATTTACCCCTAAAACCCCCTAAAAAAAGACGATTTTAGAAGTAATTTTTTTAGCATTAAATGTATTCAAATCGATTTTAAAACTCAAAATATTAAAAAACATGGTCACAATTTTGTGACGCCCGAGCCTCTGCAAACCCAATTTTGATCATTTTTGTTGTCCGTAATGTGGCGCCCTCACGTGAATTTTGTTGCTGACGCTTTTGAAGGCGGGCAAAGGAAACCAGGTACGTATTCGAATTAATTGGTTAAATTATTTTATAACGCTTGTCTCTTACACAATAATTTAAAATTGTTATTTTGTAATCAAATCATACGGCAAACAACATTTGCGTTGCATCTATTGTGTGTGTATGGTCATTGATCAGCCACAATAGGCCCTCGCGGCCTCAGTGGAGGGTCCCCCTTGGGACCCACTCTTAGTCAAATACAATACATGGTCATTGATCGTGATGCAATGTAACAAAACAAAACAATAAATAATTAATAAGATGGTTTGACCACTGTGTAGTAATGGAAGTCTACAGTAACTTGCACCGGCGCCGGCCGGCGCGCGGCGCCACTTCAATAGGCAAAAATTAGGGTAAACTCGTTATATCGCATTAAATAAAGAGATAATACATGATACATGATATAGGGATTATATGATATAATAATTGTTACTACCTATTCTTACTTTGCTCTATTATTTTTAAATTGTTTAAAAAATTAATATTGTTAAAAGTGATAAAAATTATACTACTATGTATTATACTGGTGATAGTTAAAGTGTCATAATAGTAGTACTCTACAAACAAAAAATAATTCGTTGAAAAAAAAAACACACCAAAATAAAATAAAAAACACTGAGACGATATATTTACTCAAAAAGTATTTACTACATATACGAAGTCAATGGACATACATATAAGCAATATTAATGCATATAAACATTTATTATATTAGATAATAATATTGTTTAAACAATGGACGATTACGATGGACTACTTAACTTTTAACAGAGATATTTTTAATAGACATATTTCTACATTTTCTAGGATCCACCAATTCGGTCAAAAGACATTTTATGTAGAATTCCGTAAGCTATTTTTTAGTTTTTTCTTTTCAAAAAACTTCATCTTTGAAAATAATTTCGTATTTAATCCCCAAGGGTGTCCACACAGGAAACAACAGAGGGCCAGGGTTACTAAAAACATTGTTTATCTCCAAAAAAAAATATATTAATATTTCATAAATCTTGTTATCAATTTACAACAAGTAGGCTTTGGAGCATCACAAAACAAAAGCAAATGAATAATGGAATTGTCGTAACTAATAAAATGCTATTATATCGCAGCAGAAGTGTCTCAATTGTGTAATTTTTTTAAAACGTATATTGTACAAATATTTTTTTATGATGAATGTAGATGATAGGGGTAAGTTTTTACTGTTTTTCTGCCTCTTTCACATTTTAATAATGTTTTCCCATATTTGTATTAGGGTTATTTTTGTTAAAATATATTTTTCAAAAAAAAGCCTTTAAAATTTATGAACGATTTTAAAAAAAATGTAGAAATATCGTATTTTTTATACATGTCATTCGCTTAGGTAGTCCTTATTCTTTTATGTCGAGCAAAATAAATCTGCCCCAAACTGCCACCCTGTGTAGAGCATATTGTTTTGTTGGACAGTCCGGCAATAGTGCGTCAAGTATCTGTAGCTTCTAGAATAAAAAACTTTTTTAAGTTTGCACACCTAAAGTATGCACGAGGATGTATATCAGGAAAATATTTTAACTTCTATAGGGTGGCTCAAAAAAGTGTGAGTGGACCGGGATTATTTTTTTAAGAGGAACACTCTGTATATTGTTGCATTTTTGGCTTCCTTTCTGATCACTTTACATATCCTAAGATAAGATGTAAATATATTTGGATAGTTTCAGAGATATTAATAAATAAATAAAAAATATATATTTTTCAATAAGTTACAAAGTAAGTTGATAAAATATTGCATTTTCAAAATAATTACAAATAAAATGAAGGTACAACGCTTATCATATTTTTATGCAATTGTCCCAAAAGTCTTAAAATCGATTTTTAAGAAAAAACTAGTTTTATAAAAAGTTCATTACTTTTGACTTTTGAGACACCCTGTATAACAGTTTTTTTTACATATTATGATGCTTCTAGGCTCATTCATTTTTTGGAAACTAGTTAAGGTGTGACTTGAATCTGCGAAAATATGATTTTTTATGTGGGTTAATATTGTAAAAACTTTTAAAAAAAAAACACCCTGTATAAACCATTTCCTATACACTAATAATTCTTAATTTTTTCATATTTTGTATTGACTTTGTAATTTTAACACATATTGAATATCTACGAGCAAAATAATTTTTCCATAAAATATGGTCCACCGTTAGGATTTTGGGCGGCGTCGTTGACCCTGGATTTATCGAGAGATTCGTAAGTGTATGTAGTCTTCTGTTAGTTTAAAAGCTACCTCGTCTCTTCGGATTCCCCGCAGGTGTTTTAGTTTGTCTAGGGAAGGGCAGCCTTAACATCTAGACAATTTGACTTGAAATACCAAATGTGTGGTACCAATTTATTCGTTCCTTCAACCTTCTTTCCATTTGAAAACATTGAGATATGACTAAAAATACAATTTCGGCATTTTTTAATCGGTCTGGACAACACACGAAAAACAATAGGCAATCAGTGGTGACGCTAGAACTTTTTTTTTTTGGACAAGCAATTTTCCCAACTTCCTACTTTTTTTTAGAGGCCATAATACATGTAATAATGTATTGTGATAGGAAAAAAAATTCTAGTTTAAAAAAAATGTTTTATTAATTTAAAACTTAAATTTAACATTATTGAACAGTATAACATGCATAAATAATTATTGTTATGACAACTCTAAAATTAAAATAAAATCGTACCATCCTTAATATTTTTAATTTGGGATTTAGACGTCGCGTTGTCATGACTACTTTCCCAACTCAATTATACATTGGGGGGGGGGAGCATCCCCTCCCAACAACCCCATAGCTTCACCACTGTAAGACAATTATTACTTTTTACCAAAGGATCCTTGATTAAAAATTAGTGTTTCTAACACAGCCATGACACTCTAGATTGAAATTTAAAATACGATTTTTTAAGCGTAAATGTCAAAAGTTGATATATGATATGTCATTCTATTCAGAGTGTCATTTTTATCGAATAAAGTAAAAACATATCGAGGCTGCCATTTATAAATCAAAAGTTGTAGTCATTTCCGGTGAAACAGGAAGTGATCGAAACGAATTGAATACTTCAATCAATCTTAATTTATGTCATATGCTAGCATACCAAATCTCACTTTTTTATCAGAAAAAATAAAAGGGAAAACCATTTTTGAGAAACACCCGGTATATTATGATCTTAGCCTTAGAAAATTATATATTCTCTACAAATAGGAGAATATCGCGTAAAATGACATACTTTTTAGAATAAACTCTATAACTTTTTTATTTTACAAACGACAACAACCAGAATAGGAACAAATAACATAGGAACATTTATCAGGTTAGTATAGGAATAGTTACTGACTTAAACAAATACAAACATATTTAAATTATTAATCTTAACCTAATATACTCTATGTCATTTTAGACACATATACTCGGATAAAATGACATAGGAGTAAACACTGCAAAAATAAACTCAATTTTATCACATACATCGACTACAATGTTGAAGATCAAACACATATATCACAAGTAAACATCTTAGCTTTTGGATCTATTCCGGAGCATTCAATGTGAGACCATTTCATGCATGACTGGCATTTTACCCACATTTCCATAGGTTTGGATCGCGAATAAAGGTCATTGCAGTAGATGCAAGCAACCCCATCGAAAAAGGATCGTGATTTTCTTCATTTTCTGTGTCTTGAAAACGATTTATTATATCGAGCGACACTTTTTGTCTCTTAGACCTAAATTTTTTCGTCCGTATTTTTTGTTTTTCTGCCTTCTCTTTTAATTCATCTAAATTTGGTGTTGAAGTTAAAACCAACTGACCTTGATTTCTTCTCTTTCTTTTGTTTCTTATTTCCGCGGCTTTTGGAGTGGGCTTTATCTCTTCTAGCCTTACTATCTGGTATTCTGTTTCTTGTTCTGAGTTTGTCGATTGTTGAAAAGTATCCATTTCTAATGGATGCTTTTCAATTTGATTTTGCAAACCTGCACATCCAGGTTCAGTGAGATCAGTTTAATCTGATGGTTCTTCTAAGACCAGGTTCGTAATATCAGAAGGAGAAAACATCCATTCCCGAAAAATGTCTGGATTTGGAGGGTAAATGCCGGTGGTTTTAAAGCCACTAACTGCATTGCCCATAACAGCCGCTTTTTCATAGGCTTCCGAAAATAGTTGACCAACTTGAAACGCCGTCACTGTTCTGGCCGGATTTGCCTTCATACATTTGGTAATTGCTTGATTATAGTAGTTTGATAAAGGACCAAAAAAACTTACGTCTAAAGGCTGGATACGGTGAGTACAGTGAGGTAGTGTGCATAGCAAAACAACACCATGTCTCTTCGCATATTCTAGAGCTGGTAGATATTTATGGCTAGAATGACCATCAAGGATTAGCAGAACTTTTCTATCTACGGATGCATTGGAATATTTTACGAAGTGCGATAACCATTTTTCAAATAAAATTCCAGTCATCCAGCCGCATTCTTGATATAGTTGAAGAGTCCGGATGGGTACATCATCCGTCAAATCTGGCTTTGAATTTTTTCTTGCAAATATTATTGCGGGGGAAACGAATGAGCCTATTGTGTTCATACAACACACAACAGTTGTATGAGCACCACGCTCAGCACTGGTGATTGTTCCAACCTGTTTCCGTCCTTTCGTGGCAAAAATTTTAGATGGTCTTTGTACCGTTGATAGTCCTGACTCATCTATATTATATATCCTTTCTGGTGGAATTTCATTATTCCTTATTATATTTTCTAAAATGTCGAAGAACTTTTTTACTTTAACTCTGTTAAACGCTGAGGCTCGGGCTACTGACGTAGCTTCCGGCTGTCTAAGCGATATGTCAGAATTTCTCTTCCGCAACCCATAAAGCCAATCCCATCCAGCCATTTTATTCTCTTTATTGAAACGGTGTGGTAAATGATTCTGCTCTGCAAATTCATAAGCTAAATGATGGAGTTCAGTAGTTGTTAAACCATAAAATTGTTCTTCGACTTTTTTATGTAATTCACTAATTCTCTTTTCTTTTCAGGCGGAAAAGTAGTGCCCCATCTTCCAAGACCTTTATCTGATCCCTTAATGCGTTTATTTACATTCGGGCACCTACGTCTCAAAGTGGCTTGAGGGACATTAAATCTTTTGGCCGCAGCTAACCAACCCATTTCCCCTCGTTCGATGGACTGAATCGCTTCTTTCATGTCATTTTGACTCCACTGCTGTCTATCTGACTTTCGTGAGTAGTTTCCCACCATCTCTGGAAATAAAATAAAATTAAGCTTAAAATGACATACTATATCATTTTAAACTGATAAGCCCTATGTGATATTACCCATAAATACATTGGCAGCATTTAATTGTTCTAACTTTTCACAAAATATAATTATTAGATTCTTTAGCATTGGAAATTCAAGATAACGGATGGAACTTACCTGCCTTGTAATAATAACTTCCAAAAAAATTACGATTAACTTGAAAATACGAAAAACGAAACTCGTAGGTACTAAAAAACTGCTTCAGACTCAAAAAACATATACTCGTCTAAAAGCTACAAGCCAACTGATTGACATCCCGTATTAAGTGTGTCACGTGACGCACATGTGAGGAAGTAGTAGAGATAGAACAACACCAGAGATAGAACAACATCGCGGGAAATTTGAATTTGGGCAGTATGTCATTTTACCCGCATATGCCATTTTAAGCGAAATTCCCCTAAGTAAAATCAGAGGAAAAAATCAATCGCAGTTTACTATAAAATGTTTCAATGGAACACGAAATTACATTCGCAACAAAATCGCCAAATCCCAGCTCGCAGATAAAATGTTATCACTTTCCTAGTTTACAAAATCACAATAGCAGCAAAATCGCAAATTGCAACTCTCAACTATAGTAATATTGGTTGTATAAATTGGAACCCGCAAATCGCAGCAAAATCGCAAATCGCCACTATAATAATATTGGTTGGCTTAATTGAAATTCGCCAATAGAAGAAATCGCAGTCGCCGTTTCCTATTAGAGCCAATCAGTTGCGAGTGCGAATTTAAAATCGCTGCGATTGAATCGCAGTTTGCGATTTGTTGCTCATCTCTAAATTTGGGCTTGGGTGTTATTGGTGTCCTTGTATTCTTTAGTCATTGTCTAAAGATCTAAAACCTAATTTGTGCATTAAAATTGAATATCCTGAACGTCACTATTGTGTGAAAACCTAAAATCTCTATCGATAATAAACTTACGCTAAAGCTCATTCAAGTACCATACGAGAGCGAGGTCTAAAGCCTCTTCCACACGTCGTATTACCGATCGTAAACGCATTTATTTTATGGTTTTATCATCATACGGTGACCTTTCGGGCCCGATGGTATAACTCTTCACCTGAAATCGCTTCGAATATTTTTACCGTACTAATGGGACAATTCGTATGCTAATTCGTGCACTACCATACGGTCCACATCTTCCATCTCTTCTTCTTTTTGGTCTGTTCGCGGCGAGCGATATGTTTTCGCCCGGTCCCGGAGACGGTTTTATTTCAAATAATATTTCCAGTTTTGGTAGGCTTTGTGTACGGAACGGGCAGTATACGGTCTGGGTTAAGTGGCGACTCTAGTTTATGTTTCTTAGGGGGTTTAAATTCTGATTAAAAACCACGTAACATAGAATTCTGAAACCGCAAGCAGAGACTACTCACATACTAAATAAGTCTAATTTGTGATTGTTTATCTATCGCTGTAATGGTATGGTCTGCAGGCCATACCTCACAGTCCAAATCTTGAGGACTAGAATGTAGAATGTTTAGGAGGGGAGTAAATCACCGCGACCTTACAGGTCTATTGTGTGTTCCCCTTTCTTGAGTTATAACTAGTTATAACTCATCATACAGTCTTAGGGCGTTAACAAGAGCCAGTATTTGAGACGGCTTCACAGAGGCCAGCTCTCCATCCTCGACATCAGCCGTACCAAAGTTCATGGCACCACAGAATATCTAGCTACGCAACAGAAGCCTCGTTACATGTATAAAATCGTAGGTCTCAAAAGGAGACAGGCTTTAAAAGCCTGTCTCCAAATCAGATATTTTGATGCGGTAGTTCTACTACTACATAACAGAGGGCGATAAATTTAAAAGAAAACAGTTTTCTACAAACGAAATTTAAAAGAATTTTATGCAGTATTGCCATTGTGTAATTTATATTGTAATATTTCCTGATAAAGCCTAGTTTCAAATTTGCTACATCATTTAAACATATTAAAATAGATTAGAGCTCTTTTTTCAAACGTTTAAGTATTTTTACTCGCCATGTTAGTTGGAGTTAAATCTTACGAGCTCATTTAAAATCACTTCCTGACGTTTGATTCTAACTCAATCCTGAATTTTGATTGTAATTCGGCGACAATATAATAATTATTGTCCTACTATTATGACACCACTTCCTGACGTTCGATTGTGTTCATACCGTATGATCGGGAAAAAACGGCGTTAGCGATGGCTGTGAAATGAAAATCGGTATTTGATACATACTTGCATATTTTTCATGACATTGCAATATTATGGTACCATGAAGCATATCAAGTGATACCGTAATATTGTACCTTATTACGATACATGGCGTTCGATTGGGCTTAAACTTGGTATATTACGTATCTTCAGAGATATTGTAATATTATGGTACCATGAAGCGTATCAAGAGGTACCATAATAGTACATAATAGTACCATATACGATAGAGGTACCATATACGATACCATTTCCTGGCGTGCGATTGGACTTATACTTGGTATAGTAAGTATCTTCGATGACATTGTAATATGATGGTACTATGATGCATATAAAGTGGTACCTTAATATAGTACCATATTACGATACCACTCCCTGACGTTCGATTGGGCTCATATTTGATTATACTTGCGTATTTTTGATGACATTACAATATTATGGTACCATGAAGCATATCAAGGGGTACCATAATGTAGTACCATATTACGATACCATTTCCTGGCGTTTGATTGAGCTTAAACTTTGTATACTACGTAATTTCGGTAACATCGTAATATGATGGCACCATGGAGCAAATAAATTGGTATCTTCTATAGTACCATATTATGATACCACTTCCTGACGTTCATTTGGGCTCATATTTGATATATACTTGCATATTTTTGATGACATTGCAATATTATGGTACCATGAAGCTTATCAAGAGGTACCATAATAGTACCATATACGATACCATTTGCTGGCGTTCGATTGGGCTTAACTTGGTATAGTAAGTATCTTCGGTGACATTGTAATATGATGGTACTATAATGCATCTACTATGATGCATATATAAAGTGGTACCTTAATATAGTACCATATTACGACCACTTCCTGACGTTCGATTGGGCTTATATTTGATTATACTTGCGTATTTTTGATGACATTGCAATATTATGGAAGCATGAAGCATATCAAGGGGTACCATAATGTAGTACCATATTACGATACCATTTCCTGGCGTTCGATTGGGCCCAAATTTGATATACTTGCGTTTCTTTATAAAGATTTGTTTAATTAATAATTTTAATTTATTTTATGAATTTTAATTTATTGTACGATGTCGGTGACAGCAACTTTTATGCTTAAGTAATATATTATTAATTGTACCTGTGTCACTTTTTAAAATCTACCTAGGTCTATATAAATAACGTGGCAAACAGAAAAAAATTGTTATTATAGTATTTTTTAGTCAATTAACATTTTTTGTACTGCATTTTAATAAATCGTTTCCATTATTATTAAACGTATATTTCATTACTAACGTTTCAGCATTAATAAATATCACTATCAATCGCCCTGTATATTATTAATTTTAAAGGTAGTTAAAGTTATTTTCTTAGTTAACATAATAAAGTAGTGTAGATATATTAAAAATGTATTTTGAGAGCATATGTTTTCTAATAATATACTTAAAATTAAAACTATTTTAAAAGCCAAACGAATAATTAATATAAGTGTATCTGACAAGAAACGAAGAATAGAAAGGAATTATTATACACCAGAAAAAGAATGGGATGCCAGTTAAAGTCTGTTTGAATCTGGCAACTGTGCATTTTTAGCCGAGCTTCAAGGCCGTCGACGTGCCTCGATCTAAATCACCGCGACCTTACAGGTCTATTGTGTGTTCCCCTTTCTTGAGTTATAACTAGTTATAACTCATCATACAGTCTTAGGGCGTTAACAAGAGCCAGTATTTGAGACGGCTTCACAGAGGCCAGCTCTCCATCCTCGACATCAGCCGTACCAAAGTTCATGGCACGAACGGTCGTCGCCGTCGTCTCGGCGCACTCAGTAATAAGGAAGAATGTAAAGGACATTCACGCTCAAATGTACACGATGATGATGACATCTCGCCTGTTGTTGATACTAAGATGACGCGCAGTTGTTCATGCATTCATCAGTATATATATCAGGTATATATTAACTCAGTAAAGTCCAATTCGGTTTTTACGTTACAGATCTGAATATGCCATGATTCCTTGAAAGAAGGGCATTGAAACAGTAATCTACCTGTTACAAACGCAAACTAGCTTGTGAGTTGCTTTTTACTCGTAAAACAAACTTTCCGGACACAAAATTTGGTTAGACAAATTTGTTTTACAAGTAAAAAATTACTGACAAGCTAGTTTCCGCCTGGATTAGACGCAGTGGTGTTTTACAAAAAAAACTTTTATTTTTAGGGTTCCGTACCCAAAGGGTAAAAACGGGAACCCTATTACTAAGATTTCATTCACTGTCCGTCGGTCCGTCTGTCTGTCACAAAGGTCTATCTTAGGAACCATTATAGCTGAGACAGTTGAAATTTTTACAGATAATGTATCTATGTTGCCGCTATAAGAACAAATACTAAAAACAGAATTAA